ACAGTAAATAAAGAGTGCTATGATTCATGCAGATCCACAAAGTTTTAGATTCATCATACCAAAAAAAATATTGTTCCATACAGGGCTTGATCCTGCACCAATGAGGTAAATGAGAACTTTGACATTGACTTCAATTAGGTGTAAGATCAGGTCCATGGAATATGAATATCAAATTCAAGTAAAGTTTAATATTAAAGGTTTTGGTAGATTAGTTAGAGAGGAGAACCATATGAAACATTAGCATGCTTACATTTTTATTATTGAAATTTGAGTTCTAGTTCATATGCATCAAGCAAAGTACAGACTAATATTTTAACAGGACTGTAACACCTAATCTACCCCTTCTGAGTACAGATGAGGCAAGTTATCAGTGAATGTTTACATCTTAATGTACCAGGTAAAAGGGATATTATATCATCTCTGGTTGAGATAGAAATGTAAGCTCTAGCCAAAAAATGGTTCTGAGCTGAACTCCTGATCAAAGTATTTCATTTCAGAGGCCAGGAAGATTGGGGAAATGTTGTGCATTTCACACACTCAGCTCAACAGAGGATGGGGAGTGCTTTTTATTTTTATGTTTGGCCTCCGTTGGCTAATTTTTATGGAAAGTAGTGCATAGAGGAGATCTAGTTCCAACTGATTTAGGCTTGTGTAAATGAAATATCCTAGGCTTGTGTAAATGAAATATAGAGAAAGTGAGGAGAAATTTAAAGAAGGGGCAAAGAAAATCTAGTTATGAAGCCACAATATTTCAGATGTGTCATTTCTCCCCTCTGCATTGTATAAACCCTGGAGAGTGCAGTATTTTGGCATCCCTGTAACCCATGTTCCACAAGGGTTAAGGGATTTGTTGGAATAGTGCCTTATTTTGAAACTTGGTGCTGTGTGAACAGAGACAAATTTCAAAATAAGCTCTTTCTACTTACACTCAGTATAAGCTGGACTTGCTTCTGGCAAGATGGAAAATACAGAAGATACAGAGGAGGCTTAGATACATCTTTCTATTTTGGCATCCCTGTAACCCATGTTCCACAAGGGTTAAGGGATTTGTTGGAATAGTGCCTTATTTTGAAACTTGGTGCTGTGTGAACAGAGACAAATTTCAAAATAAGCTCTTTCTACTTACACTCAGTATAAGCTGGACTTGCTTCTGGCAAGATGGAAAATACAGAAGATACAGAGGAGGCTTAGATACATCTTTCGCTCT